ACACAGACCTACTCAGCTGTGGGGAAGCCCGGGAGGTGGTCCGTCCTGGGGCCAAAGGGAGGGTTCGGAGAGGTCCTTCTCGGGTCCCTTTCCCACTGCTTGACACTGCCTTGCCTTCTACTTCTTTGCCGTTTCCATGACAGAGGAGGAAAAGAAAATGACAGCCAATCTAGGTGACTGCTCAGTCCCCAAGAGCTGTTAACTAGGACCTGCACCTGTGCAGCTGGCCAGAAGCCCCACTGGGCAGGTTCCCAAAACAGGCCCAGGAAAATACCCCTACTTAGATTTCAAAAATACTGGAGTTATCATAATAGACACTAGTTTAACACACATTTTCATTTATATAGTGATCTACCAAGTTTAGGCTTTAAGGAAAGAGCAGACCAAAGCTATATGGACAATGTATATGTGAAGAAAACAATAATGATATCAGGTGATACTTATATATAGTGCTTACCGTGGGTAAGCACCTTTTTATATTATTAACATATAATAATATAGCCCTTTTATATCCATCAACTCATTTATTTCTCATCTGTTTAGTAGGTACTATTTCTAACTGTTTTTCAGAAAAGAAACACGAGCAAAAAGATTAAATAAATTGTATGTTGTAAACAGTTTTTTAACTGTATATATTCTAGCTTTTTTCTTTTAGAATCTGAGGCTGGATATGTGACAGTTTTCATCCAGGCAGCCCAGCATCGTTTATTATTTCCCCGATTAAAAGGAAGGACTCTGGAGTCAGGACACTTGATTCAAACCCCAGCACTGCTACTTGTCACGTTTGATCTGGGCAAGTTACTTTACTTCACTGAAGCCTCAGTTTTTTCACCTGCCAAGCAGAGATATTAACAACATAATAGGGTTACCTCAAGGATTAAACAAGTGAGCAATTTGAAAGAGATTAGAATAATTGGAATACTCTAGCTCAGAACACGTTGGCTTTTATTATCGTTGTCATTATTTTAGCAAGTCCCAAGAGTTAACGCAGCCAATGTTTCAAGTTCTAAGAGATAAAGCTACATAAATACAACCAACTCACATACAAGTTAGTATTTCTGAAATTATAGTTTACAATCAGTCTTTCTGTTCCCACTAAAATTGCCCAAAAAGGGGTAGGGTGTGGGGGCATTGATAACAAAGGAACTAATTTTAAAGCAATGTGAAGAGTACAGTACAGACTTGTGTTGCTGAAGAACTTTCCTACGTCAGACAGTAATTTCCACTTGCTGAACTGGAATCCCTGCCTGGCATGGACCTAACTTCTGATATACACAATCAGTTCTACTGTAAAGTTCAAGCTCTCTTTCAGCCATCTAGGAACAACTTTATGCAAAGGAGGAATTCTCAGAAATAAAGACAAATGACTAAATTATCATCAGTTTCCCAGGAGTCAGGCATCTTTTCTCTAAGAAGTGGGGGAGTTAGTAAGAAAACCCAGTGCTACTCCAAGTCAAAACACAGGGATTGGAGAGTCAGGCAGACAAGGTTCAAACCCCGCTCCGCTACTCAGGCTCCTCCACTGTCTAAATCTCTGACATCCTACCTGTGAAACGGAGGTAACTGCCTACCTTGCAGGGAAGGAGCAAGGAGTAGATGAGATACCACAGGCACGGGAATCAGCACAGTGCTTGTTAAGCACCCCCAAAATGCAACTGTTTTATTATTACTACTGTGCGTAGAAGCATGGAAAGGTGGTCCCAGAAAAGAACGCGGGTGGGCAGGGCACAAAATAACTTACATGGGCACCGGGGTGCCAGCGAAAGTGGCGCTGAGTCCCCAGGATGTTGCCAGCATGAACATAGTGACCTAGGAGAGAAGTCCACGGTGCACTGACTACAGAGCAGCACAGCAAACTGCTAAGAAAACACCGTGGTGCCCACACTGTCCTGGCCCCAGTGTTGCACAGCAGCCCCTAGGCCTGCCCCTGGAAAAAACCAGCTCCCAGACAGCTCAGCTCAAGCAGAGCCGTCCCCAACCAGCAACCTCTTCTCTCAAGTCACACGCCCAAGGTTCACACTGCCTGCTCTTCCTCAGGCCCCCCATCCCACCTTGGTTTTATCTGACTCTTTAATCTGGAGCCAATGCTCTGGTGAGCTAAGCAGAGAGCACCCAGCTAGGTACTTGCATGCTTTTCCTGCTCTTCAAAGGAATGCCAGGGCACAGGATAGGGGTACAGATGGAAAATGGAAGCCACAGTATACCCTCACCCTCCATTTTCTTGATGCCAAAGCGTTTGCCTGGTGACTTTCCACCGAGGTTTTTGGAGCTACCACCTGTCTTCTTGGATGCGTATCTGACGGCAAGAGCTGCAGCCTGAGGGGGCTTCAGCAGGGCTGTAACTGCAGAGAGAACAGAACTGTTCAGGCAGACTCTTTCTCCGCCTCGGGGGGCCATGTGCTAGTTTGAGATGGGAGGAGGCAGTGGCGGGGGAGGTGAGGCAGCTCCGGGAATAGAATACCACCTAACAGCATTGGTTTTCAGGGAGTGTCTGAAGTCCTTGGCTTTCTCCCACAGCAGGAGAGAAGCAACTCGTTGTACTGTCCAAAAAGTAAGTACTGCATGAGATGTGTGTATGTGTGCTGTGTGTGGCCAGGGGATGAGGGGTGGGGCAGTAAAATATTAATGGGGAAAAAAAACGCCAAAACACCATGTACCTTGGGTCTGGCCACATTTAGCCCTGCTGAGAAGGAACAAACACCACAGGATGAGAAGCCAGCAAGAGGACACCACAGAACTGCTTATTTCAGCCTCACTCCTATCATGCCCTCAAGGCTCCCTGCACTGTGGAGGGGCCAGACCACAGAGCCCAGCAACAGGACATCCAGAGAGAGACTCCTGCTTTGGCCTCAGCCACCACTTCCTTAGCCTTCTACCCCTTCACTGAACACCAGGTACTTGTACACAACAAGGGCAGCTTCTCTAAGGAAGAGAAGGCTCTCACAGTATCGTGGCCATTGCAGGAGGCTGGGCCCTTTTTTCAGCAAGCCCACCACACGTGGGTCCAACCAAGAAAACGGGTACTCTGCCCTGTTAATCTGACCTCTCTATATTCATTCCAACGTGCTCAGTGGCATTTGTTTTAAAAAGGAAAGCAAACTAAAATTCATGCTAACCAAGATGGAAGTCCTTTGCTACACGACAAGCCCAGGGCTGGCGGTCCTTGTTTCCAAGTCTTCAGACACAGCCACAGTTAGTTCATCAAGGCCATGGCAGGTCTAATTGAAACCCTGTGGGTGTCTGGAGCCTGTAAGTTCAGAGTTCCCAAAGCATGAGTTTCTGAAGTTTTAGTAAGAACAGAGACTAACTAGGGCACAGGACCAGAGATAAAGACTTAGGCAGACAACACATGAAATGCCCAGTACGACAGCCTACCTGCATTTCAATAGCTCTTCATGTGTTCACTCACTCACATATTAAGCTCAGGAACTGGGCTTTTGCTTTACCTACATTATCTTATTCACAAATCTTTGCCGTCCACCCTACTCCTCAGTCCTCTCCCCTCTGTAAGTGATGCTACCGCGCAATTTGTCAGGCAGAAATCAGGGAGTCATTGCATATCCCTTCCCTTTACTCTCCTCAAACATCAAGTTCACCAGCAAGCTCTGTGGGTTCTACACCCAGAAGAGAGCTCAAACCCTTCCATTTCCCTCCAAGTTCACTGCCACTAACATTGTGGCTAGATCATCTCTCATTAGGGCTGGTGTTACAGCCTTCCATCTGGTTTCCTCATTTCTATTCCTATCCTCTTTAGGTTTACATAAGTACAAGAGTTTGCTTCTCAAAATTTAAACTTGAGTCAGGCCAAGCTTTCTGTCATCCTTCAGGTCTTAACTTAGATGTTACCTCCTCACAGGGCTCTCCTGGCCACCCAACCTAAACAAGACACACACAAAGACCAACGTGCATGCGCGCACACTTGCCTTCACAGCACCATTTTATTTACATGCTCGTTTATTGGGTTATCCACTAGAAAGAACTGTCCTGGGGATAGAGATACTATGTTTTCTCTTCTGCTGAGAGCCCCACAGTGTTTGGCACAAAGACAGACCTCAATCTGTTGAGTGAACAGATTAACGTTTTGAGCCCTGGTATGTCAATGTTAGTAACCTATATTTTTATAGATGAAAGGAGTTTATCATCACCAAGCCCTTATTATATGAAATCTTAAAGGGATTTAGCTAAGAAAAAGAAGATTAAAAGTATGAAGTAAAATGACAGCAAATTCACAGCTATTAACAACCACACCTAAAACAAAAGCAAACTAAGGAGACAGCTAGAACGGGAGCAGAATCACAGAAGTGAAGATCACATGGAGGGTTAGCAACAGGGGAGTGGGAGGGGGAGAAGGGGGGAAAGGTACAGAGAATAAGTAGCACAGAGGGTGGGGAGAAAATAGACAGGGGGGAGGTTAAGAATGGCATAGGAAATGTAGAAGCCAAAGAACTTACATGTATGACCCATGGACATGAACTAAAGGAGGAGAATGTGGGTGGGAGGGGGTGTGCAGGGCGGAGGGGAATAAAGTGGGGGGAAATGGGACAACTGAAATAGCATAATCAATAAAATATATTTTTTAAAAAAGAAGTGTGCAAACAAAACCAGAGAGGTGAAGCGGCAAGCTCATGCACCAATTGCTAGGGAAGCTGTGTTTCCTCCCCAGGCAGAGGAAGGACACGAGCTCCTAGAACCACCACCCACAGCTCTGCACCCTAGATGTCACGTGATAGGTGACAGCCGTCCCTCAAACTTCGTGGGCTCCGCACACTCCTCCCCACACCCCGCACCAGAGTTCCACGTAGGGAGAGGCCTCCATCCACGTTCCCTGCAAGGTCGCCATGCACCCCCACCACTCCGCCGGTAACAGCCCCACGCCCCCTTACCAGCAGCCCGGGTCCTCAGCGCCAGCGCCGCCGACGCCATATTTGCCGTACACTCGCTTCCGGTCTCAAAAATCGTCTGCTTCTGCTTCCTCTGCTGGAAGATCTACTTCCGGGTCCTGCTTGGCAGTTGAAAGAACGGCGGGAGAAGCTGCAGGTGAGCTGGATCTACCCATGCCGCTGCCGATACGGACGCGGCGGTCAGGGCTGGGCCGGCGAGGCTGGGTTTCCCTCCTGGGCACTGCTCCACAGGGCCTTGGTGGCCTGAGTGTCCTTTGCCACGGGGTGTGGATGAACCGAGGAGGGTTGGTGGAAGAGGAGCGCGCCCTGCAGGGCCCGCCAGTCCCACTCCCTAATTTTGCAGGAGTCTACCGAGGCCCTGCGAGGGTACAGGGATGAGGTCCCTCCCTAGTCATTGAGCCTACTTTATAGAGCTCATACTGTGTGCCAGATACTGAACTAAGCGCTTAGAAGATGCATGGTTTCTTTTGTTTCTCACCATCTTATAAAGTAGGCATTGTCATTATCTTTGTTTTGTTTTGTTTTACTAAAGAAGAACGTGAGGCCCAGAAAATTACACGGCTTATCCTGACTCACACCTCCAGTGTTAGTATGTATTTGTTCACTCAACTTGCTCACGACACAGCAATTGCACACCTAATGTACGTTTGCAAGAGAATCGAAAACACATCCACACAAAAACTTTTACATGAATTTAAATATTTTATTTATTTATTTTTACACAGAAAGGAAGAGGAGGAGAGAAACATCAATGTGTTGCTGCCTCTTGCACGGCCCCAACCCAGGACTTGGCCCACAGCTCAGACTTGTGCCCCGACTGGAAATCAAACCAGCGACCCTTTGGTTCTCAGGCTGGCACCCAATTCACCGAGCCACACCAGCCAGGGCAATGGCAGCATCATTCATAATAACCCAAAACGGAAACAAACCAAATGTTCAGCAAGTGATGAAAAGATAAACAAAATGTGTCATGTCTATGCAGTAGAGTATTATGTAGCCGTAAAAAGCAATGAAGTTCTAGCTAGTGTGGCTCAGTGGATTGAGTACTGGCCTGCGAACTGAAAGGTTGCCAGTTTGATTACCAGTCAGGGCTCATGCCTGGGTTGTGGGCCAGGTCCCAGTTGGGGGCCCATGAGAGGCAACTGATTGATGCATATCTGGCACATTGATATTTCTCTCCCTCTCTCGCTCCCTTCCCCTCTCTCTAAAAATAAAGAAAATCTCTTAAAAGAGAAAGAAAAGCAATGAAGTACTAAAACATGTTACAACATAAATGAACCTTGCCTGCTAAGGGAAAGAAGTCAGTCACAAGAGACCACATAGTGTATGATTTTATTTATTTGAAACATCCAGAACAAGCAAAAATAGATTTGTGGTTGCCAAGGGCTGAGGGGAAGGGAAATGGATGACTGCTTAATGGCTATGGGATTTTTTGGGGGTTGATGAAAATATTCTGGAATTAGTAGTGATGGTTGCACAACCATGTGAATATATAAAGAAACACTGTACTGTATGCTTTAAAGGGATGCATTTTAAGGCATCTCATTTTTTTTAAAGGATGATTTTTGTCATCTCCATTTCAAATGCAAAGATCAGTGTGAGGAGCTGGGGTGAATCTTGGTACTACTACTCCATTAGCATCTTGTATTATTAACCTCCACTTTGTTTATATCTCACCTTGACCTAGAAAGGATTTGAGACTACAGGCATAGGTGTTCTGAGCGCCAGGCTGAGTGTGTTGGGGACAGGTCTCATGTCTCTGTTTCTCTGTATTATATTTATCTCCATAACGCTTGGCCATAGAATACATCTAGTGGACTGAATTGAATGCCACAGCCTGTGTCTCGCCTTTCTTTGTCTTTTAGAGAATTAATTTGATATCACGCATTGATGGCTCTAAAGGAGTTGTCGCTCTCACTGGAATCCAGTGAGAGTGACTCTGAGGAGTTGCCCGGATTTACCTTTCTGAAGAAGAAACCATCTTCAACAACGAGGAAGCAGCCTCAGAGGAAAGAGAAGATTGTGTTGGTCAATACCTCAGATTCCGAGGCCTCCTGTCCTCCATCACCAAGGTTGAAAGATCCACCGCCTATCCCAGATACAGCTGAAACTGTCACACAATCACAGTCAGCCGGGGTGCTAAGCAGTGGAAGTGAGGATGAGGAGCAACTTATTCCCCTGGCCGAGAGGCTCACATGTAAGTTTTTGACCCACAAGCAGCTGAGCCCTGAGGACTCTAGCTCCCCAGTTAAACACATTCTGGATCATAAAAATAACGAAGGAACATCATGTGACAGGAAAAAACAGTGGTCTCCAAAGAGCTGTGATGTTCCTCTCTGTTACACCTCAGAGAGGTGTGCATCAAATAACAAGGACCCTGTGGTAGACAGTGCGTGCCATTGGCCTCCAGCCTACCGAGCTTCCGGCCCTCTCCAGAGCTACAACTCAGCAGTAACAAGAACAAATGCTGAGGTCCCTCCATCTCAGAAGAGAGCCAAGCACAGTCAGGAGGTCCAGAAGAGAGGCTCAAAGGGATGCCAGCCACGGGGACAAGCAAGCCAGAAGGAAAATGCCCTGACACAATTGCAAAGGAAAAAGAAGGCAGCACTGGTCAGCAGGCCGAAAACCCAGAAGCTGGAGGAGTGCTTGAAACACCTGGTTGTGGTGCTGGATCCAGGTCCTCCTAGCATCTGTCTTCACCTTGGGCCAGGGTGCTGCTTCCTGGGCCACCCCTGACCGCCCCTGTCCTGTCTGTTGCAGTGCTTCTACAGACGGATGGTGGGGGCCAGCTCCTCGGAGCGCTGCAGGCCATGGAGTGCTGCTGTGCGATTGAGGCCCAGGCCGTGCCGCGCAGCATCACCTGGAGGAGGAGGAGGGCTGGGCTGGCTGCGGTAGGGCTTTTCTGGCTCTGTCTGCCCTCTCCCACCTGCCCCCCTTATACACATCAGTCAAGGCCCTGGCAGGAATGCAGACCGTACACTCAGGATAATTTGAGGAGGATTTAATAAGGGGCTGTTTTCCAAGGCATGGGCAGAGTACAAGGAAACTACAAAGGACGATGCAGTATTTCAGGGTAATAACAGCATTAACTCAGGGTTTCTCCACCTCAGGTATTGTTGCCATTTCAGGTCATTCTCGTGCTGAGCTGTCTTGCGCATTGTAGAATGTTTAGCAGCCTCCCTAGCATCTACCCACTAGATGCCAGTGGCACTCCTCCCAGTTGTGACCATCAGAAATGTCTCCAGATATTGTAGATGTTCCTTGTGGGAGGAAAATCGCCCTGGTTGGGTACCACCAGATTACCGTAGCTGTTGCCATGCCTAGGCCTGAAGGGGTGAGGGGAGGAAGTGGTTACCAGAATCCAGGAGAGAAATGTAGAGAGGATCATCTTGAAAGAAGCTTGACCTCCAGCAGAGGAGTGTAGAAAATCCTAGGTGACCCTGTTGGGAAGGGGCCAAGGGAAGAAATACCCTGACTCAACTCTCCTCCTTCCCTCCAATCTCCTGCTGGTTTTTCCACAGGCCATTCCCAGCCGGAGAGCGTGTGGACACTGATGTAGTCTGTAGAGAGCGCAGGGTGGGAAGGGGTGGAGAGTGAGTCTGTGGGGCAGAGGGAATGGAATCTGCACAGGCTTCCTGATTCTCAGTGGGCCTTGAGAATAGGTGGGCTTGTGTTTGCATCAGAGCCTGTGGCTTTATTGCTATGACTCTGGGCGAATTATTTGATCACTTTGTGCCTCATGTATAAAATGAGGACACCGTTATCTCCCTTTCATTCCCCACCCCGCCCCCGTGTTTTGGGGACTAAATGAGATAACCAAGCGCTGAGCTCCTGGGTGGGCACAGGGTACATGTTCCCTCCCGGCCCAGGCTCCCCGGGGTACTGTAGCTCCTGTACCTTCCGTCCCTCTCGTCTGTGAATCCAAAATACTCCACCCCAAATTTTCAAGAGTCTAGATGAAACATTTTTTTTTTGCTCCCTTGTTTGATCTCATAATTTTCTCAGTCCATTTCAAGTCACTAATGTTCTTTTATTATCCACCGCCTTTGAGGTACAATATACCAAAGCTGAATAGTTGAGACTGGGGAGGGACAGGATCATAGGTTATTGGTTCTTGCCACCGTGACTTCATTCCAGAAGAAAAAGAATAAAGTGACACGGGCTAGGCTGATGGGGTTGAGTTCCTTCACCCAGAAGGTCTGGGTTTTGCAGGTGGTAAGCACCTGCTGACTTGTCTGCCTCTGCTGGGTTCTAGGTGCCCTGGCAGGATGGAGAGGAGGGCTGGGTAGAGGAGCCGCTGGTCCTGGTGCTGCTCTTGGCAGAGGCGTTTCTGTCCATGGTCCACAACTTCAAGCAGGTGGGCAGAGCTGGAGGGGTGGGCATTGAGGCATGGCACATGGGGGCGGCATTAATGCAGTTTCTGCCCCTTTGTGCAGGGAAGTGCAGGTGGCACTGAGGACGGGAGAGAAACACTTCGGGGCTTCGTAACTGACATCACTGCAAGGACAGCAGGGAAAGCTCTGTCACTGGTGATTGTGGATCCGGAGAAATGCCTCAGGTTTGGATTCGTCCTTGAGATTTAGCATCGAAAGGGGCAGCTCCTGGGCCATCAGGGGTGAATTTATTCATCCCAGATCTGGGTCCCTCTGCCGCAGAGCATCCTTGCCAAGCCCTGTGGGATGCTGTGGTCCAGTCTTCTCATGCTTCTTCTGCTTCAGCTCAGCCTGAAGGCTCCACCCTTCTTTGATTTCCTCCCCTGTTCCAGCACTCCAAATACACCAAGGAGAAGGAAGCAGGGAGTGGCAAACAGAGAACAGGCCAAGAAGAAGAAAACTAAACCACCAGAGGCCAACACAGGGCCCACGGTGTCCAGGGTAGACATAGAGAAGGTAAGAAATCCTGTTGTCCGAGGCAAGCTGGGCACCCACTCTGATCTAACCCAAGTTGCTGTTGAGAAAGAGTGAAGTGTCTGCCGGCCAGTACTCTGCCTTGGTACTGGATGGGAGAGAAGGAGCCAAACAGGAGCCCAGGGGCCGGGGCGCGGCCTCAGTGAACAGGGAGGGGAGAACCCCTTCAGACTAGTCTCACCTCCACTCCAGTCCCTCTGTCTTTGGGTTTAGGCGTTGGTAGATCTGCAGCTACACACGGATGCCCAGGCTCGAGTTGTGCAGAGCTGGAAAGAGCTGACCGACTTTGCATGCACGTTCACAAAGGCTGTGGCCGAGGCACCCTTCAAGTAAGTGCCCCAGCAAATCCCAGCCCCACTGCTGGGTCTCGCTCATCCTGTGCAGCGGTTCTAGGGTCCAGAGATGTCCCTTTCCCCTGAACTGCACTGTCAGTCCATCGTCTCTCAGGCGTGAAGCAGGAGCTGACCTCATGCTGGGGGGTCTGGGGAGAGCCCTCCGGCCCCTGTCCCTTTCAGATATTCTGCTTTAGCTTCTGTGTTTGTGTTCTGCCAGTTGGTGGCAGTCACCAGCTGGCCAAGTTGCCAGGATTCATTACAGGTCAGGTCACAGTGTGATAGGCTCTTGTAAAATGGAATTTTTAGCCTACTTAGCTCAAGGAGTGTTCATAGTCAGAATTTAAAATTAATAACTCAAAGACAATCTAGTCCAAGTCCCTCATCTTCTACCTGAGGGAACTGAGGCCTGAAAAGACTTAAGTTCCTAGCAAGTTGGAAGAAGTGAACAGATGTCACACTGCCAGGAACCCAGTCCCCAACACTTGACCCTGTGCGCTGCCTCTGTGGTTGATGAGCCCATCTCAACATAAAGGATTCTCGTGCTTTTCTGGTACCTTCTCTTTTAGTGAGAAGGACTAGATGTTGCTTTTAAGGGAATCTGCAACTAGTGCTGCTTGGGATCAAAGTGAGCAAGATAGAACGTGTCCACCTCTTCCAAGGTCACTGGAGGTAGAGGTTTAAGTCCCCAGTTAAGGGGACAGGTACAGGACACTAACCAGTGACTCACAACTCTTCATCTGTGCTGTTTACAGGAAACTGCGAGATCAAACTTGCTTCTCCTTCTGCCTGGAGAGTGACTGGGCTGGAGGGGCGAGGGTGGACCGTGCTGGCAGGGGACTTGCTCAGGTCTGGAGACGACAGATTCAGCAGCTGAACCGTGTCAGCCTGGAAATGGCCAGTGCCATTGTGGCCGCCTATCCCTCCCCACAGCTCCTGGTCCGGGTACGCTGCTCCAGGGGTCGAGGCCCAGGGCCCTGTGACCTTAGTGGGACTCCACAGGGTTTTCACGGGTAGCATTTGTGAGGGCCCGAGAGGGCCTTGTAGGTCAACAGTGCAGGTCTGCTGAGATTTGAGTTAACACTGACCCAGGGCGGGAGGACCGATTCTCGTTCCCTGCCCCAGCGGCACCACCCTCTTGTTCATAGATGGGGCATGACCGTGGATGGTGTGGTACTAAGAGATCATTTTCCTCTTTCAGGCTTATAGGCGGTGTTTTTCAGAGCAAGAACGCCAGAATCTGCTTGCGGACATACAGGTGCGCCGTGGGGAAGGCGTAACATCCACCTCCCGCCGTGTTGGACCAGAGCTGTCCAGACGTGTCTACCTTCAGATGACCACGCTGCAGCCAGATCTCTCTTTGGACAGTGCAGACTAAAGCGAGCCCTCGGGGACAAGACAAAAAGCTACAGATTTCCACCTCACCCACCTTGGGACATGACTACAGTGAAGGGATTGAAGTGCTTCCCGTAGCACGGGCCTGGTCAGGTCCGCCTCAGACTGGTAGGTGTCGCGATCTTTGCAGGTCTCCCTTCCTGTCAGCTGGCTGGGATTTCTGCATTTACTTTCACCAGCATTTGGTGCCCCACTCCTGGCAAAAGTCAACTGCCGTGCACAAGCCACCCCTACCCCAGTCTCTGCCCCAGCCAGCCCCCAAAACACAAAGGAACACAGACAGACTGCTCAGACACATGTTTAATAGTTGTAGAAATCCAAAAGAACCTTGAGTGAACTGTCCTCGGCGGACCGACTTTACTAGGCTGGGTGTGCACCAGCCTTGGACACACTGGGGCTGCCTCAACCAGCCGGGGAACGGGTCTGATCACTGTGCCGACTTCTGAATCTCAGTCTCATTTTATGTACTACGTGGTTAGTTTCAATAAAGCATTTGTACCAATGGCTCTGGAGCTTGGCGGAAGACTAAAGGAATGTGTAGTGATACCAAGGAAAGTGGGGGCCTATGCAGCAGAGCTATCCTTGGGGGAGAAAAGTCATTTCTTCCAATATCAGACAGTCACAAGTGGCGGTCCTATCCAACTGGGCCACTATGGCTTAGAAGCTGGACCCATCCTCTTTGTGTCTGGGTCATAACAGGTTCTTGCTCTCCTAGGCGAGAGGCGAGGAGCTCGCCATCTGACCTCAGTGAGTGAGCACTGTGACACGGCCATTCCTGATCCCTTCATCCCACTGTTGTCAAAGATGGAGCAAGGGAGGCCACTGAGCAAGGAAACACCCTGGCGGACAAGAGTGGCGGTCCTGCCCCTACTTGCACTAGGGATTACAGTCCCTGCCCACTGTCAGATGCCATGATGCTACCTGATGCCTTCCCTTCACTGCTTAAGTATAGCTCTAGGTCCAGAATCAAACAATCCTAAGCCTCAGTCTCTATGACACTTGAGTTTTCTGGTTGCCTTTGAGGTATTCAGTCACACTGACTATTAACAGCTGTCATAGACAGCGTGGCTTTGCAAAGGTCTGCCTTGTCTACTGGCAATGGGGGAGAGTTAGTGCTCCAAAATGGAGGTATTTTAGGGAAGCCACATGACTAGGTGCAGGACTGCACAGGGGCTGTCTGAGACCCTCATGGCTGTGAGATTTCTATGTGAGTCATAAATCTGTCTACATGAAAGATTCCACACTCTGGCTGAGATACTCAGTTCTGGTGTGAGTTCCATTCTCTTGGGACATATTAAGGAAGGCAAAATGACAGAAGAGAAAAAAAGGATACCAGACTGGAAGTCCAGCTCTCTCAAACTAACTGGGAAACTGTAAGCAAGTCATGGAAGGCCTCAAGTTCTTATCAGCAAGTGCTCTGTTGGACTGGACAGTCTTTAAGTGTCCCTTTATGAGCCTGAGGTTTTGTGTGGTCATCAAAATGAATGCCTGAGACCCTTAAGGAAATGTGTGCCCCTCCCCTCTGATTTAGGCTAGATTTGCTGAGTATGGTGTTCCCTAGTCCCCAGCAACAACCCGCTGCCTCCTGATCTGCCCTGGCTACCCAGGGAGGAATGAAAGAAAAGGTTTGTGACATACAAAACTATAAACGTAGTGACAGCTGACCGTTTAGTAGAAATGAGCCTTGCCTTCACACGGCTTTGTGTAACAACCAGAAAGGCTCTGCTTCTTCCCCTCTCCCCACCCCCAAGCCCATTCCTTTAGGCATGCAGGTTTTTTCCTCTCCCCACTTCCACTTCTTATTCCACCAGGGAGCCCTGACTAAGGAACAAAGAAGTCCTACAAAGAGGAGGTTCTCAAGTACCAATGAGCAGCCATTTAATGACGGCAGGTAGGTCTGACGCTAAAAAGAGGTTGTGTCCAGCAGAACCCAATTCCATAGGAATCCAAGCTCCAAGGCAGGGAGGCAGCCGGTGTTGAGGACATGCTCACTGCTGAGAATCGGTCTGCAGGACCCACTGGAGGATGTGGTGGCTGCGCAGGCCCCGCACCGCATTGTCGTAGACGGTGTTCACGCTGGCGCAGAGGGGCTGCTGCTGCAGCTCCGTCACCCGGCACACCAGCAGCCCGCCGGCCACACACAGCAGCAGCAGCAGCAGCAGCTTCAGCACAGCCCAGGACCGGGTGTGTTTCCGGGCCGGTGGCTTACGGGACCGAGAGCCGGACTTGGATTCTGGAGTGACAGAGTCACAGTAGACACAAAAGTTCAGTCAGTCGGAGGAGACCCACACGCCCTGCCAAGCTCTGCTAGCCTCCTCCCTGCAGGTGCACGCGTACCCTCTCCTTTAATGAAAGCTCCCCGGGCCTGGAGAGAAAGCTGTTTCAAGAACAGCTGAGCTCTTAAAAACTGTACCATGTGGAGACTGAAATACAAATGCCTTCTCCTTGGGTCTCAAGGGAGACACTCAAAACTGGAACTCATTCTGGACGTCTCACATTGTGTCCACAGTCCCCAGGGTCCTAAGTTCTCCTCGAAGACATGGTGATGGTCAGGCCCCTCGGGACCAGGGCAGGGGCTTGTCAGGAGGCACCGAGCGTGGACACCGAGCACGCTGCACACTTGGGGACACACCTTTGAGATACATTAATGTTGCTGATGTTACTATACAGGGTGGGGGCAGAAGTAGGTTTACAGTTGTAAGTAGGCAAAACACAGTTTATTCTTATAATATTACTAATTATCGTATTATTTTCCTTATGAACAACTGTAAACCTATTTTTGCCTCACCCTGTATAAGGTGCATGTAAAAAGCAACCCTAGAACACTATATACCATATTGTTAAAAGTGATTGCCATTTTCTGATATATAGAGAGATGACTTTTCTAAATTCTCTGCAAAGAACACGTTTATTACCTTTACAATTTAAAAAAGTAGTTTTTGAGATTTTTAGGCAAAATTTTTAAAACCCCAGGACCCACATGTTGAGAACTCGTGATCCTGTCAAGTCGATTTTCCCACTTGATCTTATCACTACTCTGAAAGGAGGCCCCTAGTTTTGCACAAAGAAACAAAAAGGTTGTGAGGTCAGGCAACTTGCTCAAGGCCAGTGAGGGGGAGCAGGGGAGCAGGGCCCTAGCCTGGCAGGTGACCCTCCCTCTGGGGCCCCCTTTGGCCCAGAGGGTGTACAGTCCTCCCCAGTCCATGCAGCCACTTCGCTACACAGATGCCACTGGACACACAGAGGCAAAACTCTAATATGTGTTTTCTATACAACGTGGCTCCCTGGTCCCCTGGTGTTTGAGTGGAGAGTGGTCTGCTCCAACTTGCAAAGGAAACCACAGGCAGTGCTGGCTTTGCTGAGACAGCCAACGCGCTCAGGACACCCCCAGTGCACTTACGAATGACAGGATGGGCTTTGAAGGGTGCGTGACCGTGTGCAATCCTCACCTTTCTTGGTGATTTCAGATTCTAACTCTCGTAAAGCAGCGCGACTCCCTGTTCTGATAATGCTCTCCGCCACGTCGGACCAACACCCCTGCACTTGTGGCTCTGGGGAAACACGCTGCTGGCACCTGCTCCCCAGGAGAGCTCCACCTCCTGGTAAGCAAACCCTCCGAGGTACTCCCAGGCCACTGGGTTTACCATATCTGACTAAGGGGTGCGAGCGCGCTCGCTCACTCATCCACGCCTGAACACGCATGTGAGTCTCCCCACTGTGCCCTGCTGTGGCCTTACAACCCGGGGGAAACTTACTTGGGGCCTGATTTGTTTCCTTCTTGGGTTTCTTCTCCTGCTCTCGCTTGGATGCTTTGAGGGCATCATACTCCTTTCTCCGGCGCTCCTTCTCTTCTGCCTTCTCCCGCTTCCGCACTTCCCGCTCCTGAGCCTCCTTGGCTCGCTGCTTGGCCTCCCGCTTCTTCTCGGCCTCTACACGAAAGTGTGCCCCAGAACGGTTTTTCCCCACACACCTTCCGCTGGGCTTCCCCAAGCGGCTGAAGGTGTGGATTCAGCCTCATTTTCCCTAGGCCATGGGTCACAAACAGTACGTAAAAGGAAGGAGCTGTGTTTATACCCCCCTGAGCCACTCTCAGAGTTTGCTGAGTGGACTCATTAAGAGGTTTCCAGCCACCAGCTGCAGAGAGATTGGGTGCGGTAACAAGAGGGACTTAAGACAGGCGTGGGTGATGTGCTGGGTGCTCCTCTAGAACTAGGTACTGACTCAGAAAGCACAGCAGCCGACAGCCTCATACGGCTCAGCTCTGAGGAGAAGAAACAATGGGGGTGCTGAGTCTATGGTGTTCCTATCCCCCCAAGCTGTGGAAAGAAAGGTGGCTTGAGAAGGGCCAGTAAGAAGAGAAAGTGAACATTCAAGTTCAGGGCTGGAGATGACGGACATGTTCTTCTGAAACAGTGAGACTAACAGTTTGTAGTGTCTACATTTAACTTGTTCCGATTTACTTTGCTGCTCAAGGACGTTTACATGCAGTACCTAACTCACAAATTACTGGATTCCAAAAATGCATTTCCAAATTAGTTATTTGGAAATCTGAAGTACATTCTTCCATAGCCAGAAGGCCACAAATGGTGGCTAAATGTCCTTTTAGGGGCTAAAAGCCTATTCGAACCATCCTGTAGCTGAATAGCAGCACTGTAAGTACGGTAGCTTTCCACTGCTTCTCTGTGAACAAACAAGCTCTAAGTCCCAGCTGGGCATGGAGGACGCCAGGAACACCCTACCCTCAGCCTTGGGAGAACATGCCGTCACGAAGTAAAAGCAGCAGTGGTCAGAGTAAACACGGCGTCACAGGAGCCATGCACGTCTAAGGGGCGGTCATGGCTCGGAGTTCTGGTCTTAGGGACTGCCCGCAATCAGTACCAACACGTCCCTCCTCCAACCACAGGAGTCCTCCAGTAAGGGGCTCAGGAGTCAGCCAGCCAGGCGACAGAGCGCCGGTGTGGCAGGCCTTATTCTAAGTGTTTGAGACACAGCAGTGAAGACAAGCCAGGTCCCAGTGCCTAAGTCACCTACTTTCTAGAGGAGACAAACAAGTGAACAAAGACTAAAAAAGACAGTGATGTGTGTCAGAAAATAATAGATGTGATGGAGAACGATAGGTGGGGTGGCTGTTCTTCTTCAGGTGGTTCGGAAAGGGTTAGGGGTTAACCTAAGGCAACATGTGAGCAGAGACATGAGGAATTACCCGAAACCAACCCTGGAAAGATCTGAGGGAAAAGGAAACCAGGCACAGCTGCAAAGGGGAGACTGTGCTGGGTGTGTGGGAGCGACAGGGGGGCCTGTGTGGGTGAAGTGAACCGAGTCCTCTGTGTGTGGGTATGAACAAGGCTGGGGAGCCTTGTCGGCCACATTACAGAGTTTGAACTTCATTCTGAGTTCAGCTGGAAGCCATTGAAGGGTTCTCAGCAAACAGCAGCATAATTGATCTGTTTTCAAAAGCTCTCTGGGTGCTGCGAGGAGAATGACTTTGCAGACAGGGCACGAGCGTGGCATCAGGACACTGTGGTAGGAGGTGCTACGGCAGTCCACAGGATGGAGGCCTCATTTCATGGTGGCACTGGAGGTGGAGAAGTGCGCACACATGGGACATGCCGACAGGCGGGATGGACACAGGGGTACCAGGAGAAAGGAGCCATGGACAGCTTTCTAATCTCTGGTTTGAGTAACTGCTGGGACAGTGATTTCCTGGAAGGAACACTGTGAGGGGCCGGAAGGGACGTGTTTTAGCCGCGCTTAATTTGAGATGCCTATTAATCCTCCAAGCAGACAGGGAGACGAGCCGCTGAACGTGAATGCGGCTCAGTGCAGAAACCAGGACGGGAGAGGGGTGCGTCAGACAAAGATGACGCTGCCTACTGCACCGCTGGTCACCGCTGCCCTGCCTAGCTCCTCTGCTGGATTCCAGCTCCTGAAGCAGAACCAGCTGCTGGGACCGGGACCCGGGGGATGACACGAGAAGGGACAGCCACCTACCTCGTTCTACTTCCAGCCGCCGCTGCCTCTCTCGCTCCTGGTCCGCCTGCACAGACTTCATGTGCTGTAACACCTGCAAAGGCAGCACGGGGCGCTCAGCCGACTCCGTGTGGCAGTGCAAACGCTCCTCCCAGGACCCCAGATCACCGTGGGCCCGGCAGCCGTGCAGAGTTAATGGAGTGAATCCTCTCAGTGGCCTAACTCAGTGCCAACCTTGGAGAAGAGTCTATGAGCCCGGTTCACTACAGCCGTTGGGGAAAAAAGTTTGTGAACGCGACTGGAATCTGTAAAAATCCTGCCATTTACAGTCTCTGATGTGCAGGATTTCACAGAATTCTCCCAGCAACTCCATGACAAGCAGGGGCACCAGTTCCCCCAAGACGTTTCCCTGACTTTCCTCCTTTGGCTACCTCAGGTTCTCCTCCTCCCGTCCTGGGGAGTTTTCTTATTTAGCTCAGTTGGAAGACTGGGAGTTCCCACGTAGGGACTACTGTCCCGTCTGTAGGCGAGCGCAGAGCTTAGCTCATTCTCAGCACTCGGTACATGTTTGGTGAACCATTGACTGGGTGTCCCTTTACACAGGAAGAAAACAGATTCTGGTGGGATGAACGGGCCCACGCCGCACGGTCAGAAAGCAGCACAGCTGGGAGCTCAGGTCTTCCGAGTTCCCAACCAGAGCCTGTTCCACTCCCTCGTGCAGAGGCTGGAGAGCTGGAGGAGGAAGGGCAGGGCCACTCTGCCAAACACCCACGACCCCCGGCACCCGAGCCCCACGAACCCACCTCCGCTGTCACGGCCGCCCTCTGACTGAGACAGCCTTGGAGAGTCTCCTGACGGGCACGGTGCAGGGCGCGTAAATGGCTTTTTTTTTGTTTAGGTCTGTTTGTATTTTTTAGAAGCTGGGATTCCTTAGATGTAAGGGACACAGCGTAAGCCTGGAGCTCAACACACTCCTGGCCCTGCTGCTTATTTACAGTGTGACCTTAGCTAGTGGCTTAGCCTTTCTGAGCAGATTTTCTCACCTGGAGAATGGAGATAAGGCTTCTCTGGCCTGTTACACAGATTAAATTATAGGACTTGTACTAGCTGCCTAACATAACCCTCGGCATTATAGGGACTCAGTAAATCCTACTGCTTTTTTACTTTATCTTCTTCACTGCATCAATGAAAAAGAGAGGAAAACCTAAACGATTTGAAATTATGAGAGCAAACTATGTTTCACTACCGCACTAGGGACCCTACAGGACAGACAGGTATGCAAATGTAATTACCTTACTTTGTGGACACATCCGTACCCATCGTGACAAGGCTCAGGGCAGACCTGCAAAAGGAGCTCCCTCCAAGAGCCCAGTTTGAAGCCACGAGGAACCCTGTCCTGTAACGCAGGAACCTAACCTCTCTGAAGGGAATCAAGTTTCCTAAAAATTGGCTTTTCAACAAGGAGTTATGGGATCTGGAAGAAGGGAAAGCATGATGGAGACAGGCAGCCCAAGTTCGAAGTCCCCGTGTCGCTCTGAACTCTGAATTTTAAATAAGCACCAACCATGCTGTTGGTTTTAGGGAGTGTACGGCCGACTACATAAAAAGCTGGGAGGTTTAAGAGACGCCCCTTCCCCCCACATCAGGAGTTACTTATCGGAAAACACAGCCAGCTCAGAAATGGGAGACTCCGCCAGTCCAGACCGTAAGTCCTCAGGGGCAGACTGCTCCCTCTCCCAGTCCACAGCAAACAGTAAGTGCTTGGGGAACACCGCTGCGCTAACCAGTTGTTTTTTAACAGGTGCTTTACTGTGTACCAAGATGATCAGTTTCTGGGACTAACCCATGAGCACACGAGATGAGACCCAAACTCGCTCCTGGAGACGAGTGACCTCATTCTGACGGATCCACGCCACCCCGCTGCAGTACCTGAAGGGGCGCTGCGGGAGACAGCCAAGACCCCGCAGGGCTGGCAGCCCAGCTTTGATGACCACACCCACAATGCATTGAGCTGCCGGGCTTTAGGAGGTTATGTGTCAGTGTGGCTAAAGACCTTTGCACTCAATAAAAATTGTTTGTGTAAGTCACAAATTATAACACACTAGAGATTTCATATGGTTCAGTGCAATACTTGTTGAACAAACACGTGGACAAGGGAAAGGCCTGTGCACAGGGAAGGTTTCTCATGTCAGAGAGGTGAATGCCTGCTCCCCAGGTCTCGAGGGCTATGAAGCACAGAAAGCATGTGGGGCAGAGGGAGAGCGGTCCATGGCAGCCACCGTGGTCTCTGAAACAGCCATTGCTCCTGAAGTGACATGTTTTCAGGACAGGATTTTCCTGACCACCGGCACTGTTCCCAGCCAAGGACAAACTGTCGCCTTGGCTACTTGGCTGTCTTGGCTTTGCCGTTGGTTTCTTGTGACAACGGGTGGCATGGATGATGCAACTATGGAAGGAGCTAATGATAAGAGAAGGGCCATGACTCTTGAGTTCTATGGAGACCCATCGTACACACGTTTCACTTACATTAATTCCAGATTTAAAGTTAAGTCCTTTTCATTCACCATGCGCCCTAAACATAGCCAAAGTCGTCTGGTGCTCAGCTGAAGCAGCAGCAATCCATTCTAAAGCCAGTGGGGAAAAGTGACTGCAGTTGGGAGTCTTTGACAGGGGGGTCTAGGAATGTTCTTATGGGCCTCGTGTGGCCTCCTCAAGGTTATTGGCAACGTTTGCCTTCCATGCTGCCTCTTTCCTCACGATGTCAAATGACTCGACTGAAATCAAATGCCAGATCTGCAAAGGATATGTCTGCTTATAGCTATAAACTCACAAATACTCACCAACACCTTTCTGATCAAAATTCCTACAACGGCTGTGACTCAGAAAGGCTGCAGCCCATAGCCCTTTTGTACCATTCAGGTAACGCTGGACAGTGAAATGCTGGACCTCGGAAGGTCCTGGTTCCTTAGGAACTGAAGTCCCGCAGCACGGCAGAGATGGTGCTGTTCTACTACATGCAAAGTAAACATAGGCACAAAGTCCCCTTACTTGCCAGGTTCAGAGTAGACGCGTATCACTGAGACCCTAGCGCTTTCATCCACTCGCAGTGACAGTGCCTTCAGAGGGAGAACAAGAGGAGGCAGAGGCAAGCCCCAGGAGAGTGCGTGAGGGAGACTCGGGGAGCTCCGCGCTTACCTTGCTGGCACACTGCTTACACTGCTTCTCATCCAAGCAGTCCCCTGCCACTTTGGCCAGGACAGGGTCCAGGGGGTTGTCCTTCAGGTCCAGCCACTTCAGGCTCTAAAGGGACAGAGAGGCTGGCTAAGCCTAAGTTCCCACGCAGGGTCCCTCCGAGAGAAACAACACGAGTAGGATGAGAGCCCCTGTGCATCCCAGCCGCAGGCAACGCCGTGTGGCCGCACCTCTAGCAGCCGGCCCTTTGCCACTCCGGGCCGTGAACGTCAGGTCATGAGTCCTTACCTTGAGCTGAGCGAAGCTGACAGGCAGGGTGACCAGTTTGTTGTTGAGGAGGTCCAGGTGCTGGAGGTTGACCAGACGGCCAAAGTCAGCCGGCAGTTGCTGCAGCTTGTTCTTACTCAGGTCCAGCTTCACCAGGTGAGTGAGGCTGCAGAAGTCCGACTAGGACCCAAGGAGAGAACCTCTGAGCCCGGGGCTCACACACCTTGATGGGGCAGTCCCGGACCCCCAAGTCGGAGGCCCCTGTGTGTAAATCCTGACTCTGCATGTTACCAGCTATTCTACCTCAGATGAAAATGGACACAACAAACATCACCCTTGGTGGTAAATAGTGAGCTGTGTCTGCAAAAGGCCAAGCACGAAGTAGGCACAAGGTAAGTGTGCATTGCTTCACCCACAGCTCTCCCCCTCACCTATCCCCCACATTGTTGCCGGAGCGACTGGGGACCCACTCCGTTCTCCCACATCACCCTTCCACAGGAGCTGTCAAAACACAGTGAGACCAACCATCTTCCTAAAAAGATCAAGCACCCCTTGAATCACCGGTGCTATTGTTATTTTTGTCGCACCCCGCAGAGGTGCCCACGAGTGTCCTTTACGTGACTGACGGAATGGGCTGAGGCCCACCCTACCCATACCCTGGCTCTTCTTCAACACAGGCCAAAACACCCCTCTTGTTATTAAGCCTCTCTCAGCTCCAATCTGAGGTGATGTTCCAGCTTCAGCTAACGAGGTACTATCTTGTTCTCTGGGGATTTATTTACAAACGCCAGGGGACCTGCACTGCAAAGGAAGGCAAGACAACTGAACTCAGACTGAGCAGGACACTTAGGAGTGCGGAGTGGCCATGTGACAGAGTACAGCAGGCGTCGGGTGGCCCGGAACTGCTGCCCTTCTCCAATTAGGCACAAAATCCCTCCTGGAAGAAGTGGGAGCTCAGATGCCTTTATCAGTGGTAGACATGGCCCTGAAGAGCGGTAGGACGACGCTAAGACAGTGAGTGAGGTCCAGGTGAATACTGGGAACGGACTAAGGACCCAGTAAAGAAACCACCAACTTCTGAGACTCACTTCCTGAGCCACAGCCCAACAGAGAATGGCAAGGAGTGATGTGGCCAGGGTAATGAATGGGAAAGGCGACAGCGACAACACACTCAGGCCTGACTGTGAGGAGCACTGCAATGGAGCAGAGAGCCTCTGCTTCCCAGCAGAGGCTGAAGGGATGAATGACTCCGGCGCCTACACAGGTGGAGCAAAAGGAGAACCGGTACAAGAAAAATCAAAAGGATTTGACCAGACTGAATGTGATGAGCAAAAAAAGATCAAAAGGATAATGACACAGAAGCCCTGTAAAAATCATACTTTTTCCTGTGCCCCATCAAACAATGCACAAGGAGGCTATTAAGAAACAGATTTCTCCCTGAAATGCAGAGCAGTTTATGAAGGTCTCCAGCCTCCTCTATGCAATAGAGAGGTCAACCAGTTTTCAACCAATAAAATAAGGCAGGAAAAAAAGACAAGCCCAGTAAGTGATTCAGCCAGCATCCCGTCGTTGACTTTAGTTTTCTGTTGCCTGACTTCCCCACTGCTCTGAAGAATGCAGCCCCTACCTGTGCTTCCCTTCCCAAGGAGACGGACCACCCTGCTCTGTCCCCAACACGTTCAGACATAACTGAAGCCGGCCTACAGGCCTACCCTAAAATTACGCATTATGACACAACTCCCCGAAACAGGAAGACGAAGCATCAGGGCTCTAGCAGGGATTGCGCTTGCTTGTCCGTCTTACCGGGAGAGTAGCCAGCTTGTTGCAGGACAGATCCAGTATGGTGGCCTTTGGAAGGGCAGCCTAGGAAAGGGAATGAGAACAAAACACCAAATCAACACATGGAGTGATTCAGTGACATCTGCTAAGGATGCATTTACCAGTTCCCATGATTAGGAAAGGCCTTTAAAAAAGGCACTGAAGTATAATGCTCCTAGGGATGGGAGAGGGAAAATGAGCTGGTCAACCACAACGGAGGAAAGAATGCAAAGAACAGGGGTTTGGCTGTGGAACAGCCAAGGAAAGAAAACAGATTCTTAGACATTCTCCCTCACACTTCTAACATTTTCTTTAGCACCCTTCCTAATTAGGTTTCAGGGCAGGGACTGTGTCTACTATAGCTTTGCAATTTCCATATTCCTTAGTGTGGACCATGTAGGCACTCAATATACATGATGGCTGATTCATGAGTGAACGAGTAATTGGATGAATGAGTGTCAGAGTGAAGGCAAGGCCCCTCCCCCCCATTCTTCTCCATTCTTCCTGGGGTTCAGGACTGGGAGCTCAGCAAAACTGACACTTTTTCTCCCTAGGGGCAATGCCGTGCTGACCAGATGCCTGGAGTGAACGGTGTCAGACATCAGGCCTAAGCCCGGGTGGAAACAAAGCTCCCTCCCTCTCCCTGGGGTGGGGAGGGAGCCAAATACTCAGTTAAGGTCCCTGGGCCAACCCACACTTTCCAATGGTCAGAAAGTCCCAGGAATAAAGTCTGACCACCTAGAAATGTTTTAGATATTGCAGGGGGAAGAAAGCCATTCTGCCGCCTCCATGTATCAGCATTTGCTACCCTCCAAATATTTCACATTACAATCTTACTGAATCCTCACAACCTCTACGAGATGGGAACTATTACCGCCGTTTTATAAATGAGGAAATCTAGGCATAAAAGTTAACTAGCTTGCCAAGGACACTCAGCTCTTAAGCAATGGAGTCGACATATTAACTGGGAATCCAGTGCTAACCTCCATGCTACACAGCCAAGGCGGAGGACAGACTGGGTCAAGTGCCAAAGGCAGTGAGAAAAGTCTACCTCACCCAAAGTGAGGACAGCGAGGAGGGCGCAGGTGGGGACCCCGTGTGGGGAAAGCAGGGGTGAACAATCTCACTCCACTTTGGCCACTAGCTGTGTAATCTCCCACGGGCCACAGGCCTCAGTTTCCTGGGTGGGACTGTGGGAGTAGAGGGGTTGGAGGGATGGACCCCGGGACTGCGGTGCAAGAGACCTTGCCAACCAAGCACTGAGACCTCACCTTCTTCAAGGACACCTCCGGGCTGAGGTGGCCAACGGGGATTGGTGGCTTCCTAGGAAAGCCGGGTTCTGGGCCACACCCCGGTTTACCCAGGCGCCTACCTCTCTCTCAGACCTAGTCATTCATTAATTTGTTCATTCATTCTCCGAATATATCCAGCAACCGCTCCGTGGACTCCTACCAGGGGTCGAGCACCGAGCGGGGCGCTGTGAAGAAACCCAAAATAGGACGCGGGGAGAGTCCCTCTTGGCCTGTACAAAGCCCAATGCTAGACAAGCGGCTCCGACTGACCCCTTTTTCTGGAACTGCGCCAAAGTGACACGTGTACATCCCAGGAAGGAACGCTGGGGCCGGACGCAGACTCCCCGGGGACTTGGTCCCACTCTCCCCCACCTTATTTTAAGACGTGAAAACAAGCATGAAAAAGGAAGCAGCCCCCGCAAGGGCCAGGTGGGCTGGACGCCTGGGCCTAGCGCCACTGTACTGACCAGCTCCTTGACCGGGACCTCGTTCAGGTCGCTGAGGCTCAGGTCCAGCTCGTTGCCGTCCAGCTTGTCCCGGAGATTCCCGCCCTTGCTACCGGCCTTGGTCATGGTGACGCCGGCTGAGCGGGTCCTAGCTCTGGGGCTCCGACCTGCAGGAGATGCCCGAGAAGCCGCTCCTCGGCTCAGCGGACTCGCACCCAACCGACCACGTGTGCGTCCTCCGCCGCCCCAGGTGCGAAACCTCCGCCGCTCAGCCGCCCGCCCGGCCGCACTCCGATCCCCGCGCCTTGCTCCCACCGGTGCGGCCGCGACGACGACGACCACTTCCGTGTCCACGTCACCTTCCTAGGCCACTGAGACGAGCAGGGCCAGAGTGGCCCTGGACGCTGAGGGAGCGCCCTCTCGCGCCTAGGGTTGCGCACTGCAGTCGCCACCAACACCGGAGAGGCGGGGCATCTGGGTTCCCTGGTGACTCTGGGGCACGCCCGGGGACGTCGTCGCTTCCCAGCCAAGAGGCCAAAGGGCAAGGGAATGAGAGCGGAAAGCTCTGGGCTGCATCCCAAACTGACCTTATGAGATCACCCCTATTCCCCTGGACTAGGAGCTGCAAATGTCCTTCAAAAGTGCTTCCTCTACTCTATTTAACAATCTCCAAGTTATCTGGAAAATTCAACCTCTGAATGCCCCTTATCCCCTCCTCATCGCCCCAGACTTTGTCCGGGCAGCCAGCAATTTGGGGCCGGGATTACCCTGAGTCTCTCTTCCTCTCATCCACCTCTACCCAGCTGCCCGGAGGATGTTCTAAAAATCTAGCCAGGGCCCTTCAAACCTCAGCTACCTCGTGGGTATGGATCACTCTCCCACACTGGGCCCTGCCTTCTTCTGTAGCCTCCTCACAAGCACGGGTCCCTGCCTGGGATGCAGCGTAGAGCTCCAGCAGGGGGCCTCCTCACCTTTCTCTCTCCTGCAAGGGCCTGCCTTCTCCGTGCACCGCTGCCTAGCTAACTCCCCCAGTCCTTCAGGGAATCTCCCCAACTACCCAGTGAAGCCCAGACTGAGTTAGGGGTCCCTCCCTGGGGCTCTGACAATGTCCTGTGTGCTGCCTTAGTATCAGAGGTGGTAGTGCTTGGTGACTAAGATAGGGCTTCTGTCACTAGACCAACTGGGTATTTTATCTTGGCTCTGCCCCTTGGTACTTTTGAAACCTTAAGCAATCACCATGCCTAATCTGTGGTTATAAAATAGTGCCTGTTTGGGAATGACTGAATGAGTGAAACACAGGAGGGGTTTGCACTGGCACTTAGTAAGAGCCCAGTAAATATCAGCTATAATTTGTAATCTGTCTTGTGTTATACTTATCTTTGTATGCTTCCACTCTGGATTGTGAGGTGCAGGGATTTTGTCTTTGGATCCCCACTATCCGAGTGTCTGATGCATGATAGTATCTCATTCAGGTGTCTGTTGAATGGATGAATGAAGCACTTCACCCACTCCAAAACTCAGTTTTCTCATCTTTGAAATGGGGATATTAAGACTTATCTCAGAGGGGAAGTGTGAAGACCAAAAGAAGTCAGTGCAAAGGTCTACTCATTTAATAAATTCTCGTGTGTACCCTTCCTGCCCCCAGAGAGTCACTGTGCTGAGCTTTGGGAAATAGACAAGGGCAATTGGGTAGCAAGACATTAGCCCTTGTCAATCTCTAAGCCCTGTAGCATGCATTATCTTATTTGGATGTACATCTTATTTTAATGTACATTAAAAGACTATGGGACGTATTATTGCGTATCTTCTTTTATGAAGGAAGAAGTCGGGGAGGAGGAATGCCTTGTCCTTAGTCATACAGCTGGTTGAGGGGCAGACCCAGATCTTTCGACTCCAAATCCTGTTTTTTCTCCCCACACCCTATTTTCCCTCATCCCCTCCCACCGGAGCCCGCAGTCAACACAAATAACTGCTGTGTAAGGGAGAAAGAACAAGGGCTCTAACACATACAGATAAAATCTGTGTGTAAGTGTTCAGGGCTGTGCAGATATACGTGATAATGTCACTTTGTGTCCTGATTTGCATGTGTTATTTCTCTTAAATCACAGCAGCTATTATCTCCGTTTAACAAAGGAAGTAATTGGGGATCAGAAAGGTCATCTACTTAACTGTTTAAGGACAGTCACAGTGAGTAAGTAAATGCAGTTCAAGAAAGGTGGGTCATACTGATATGGGAAACTTTGAAAAACCTCTGTTTAACCTTTAGTTGCCCAGGCCCCAGGCACCCTAGGAAGAATGATGGGGCTGTCTGGGATAAGTAAACAACAGTGCATTAGCTAGGACTGAGATTAACACCCCTGCTGTTAAAAACTGACCTTCGAATTTAGCCTTTGTCCTCTGCTTCTGCCCCATAGCCAGAACTAACTTCCGCATTCCGCTTCTGTATCCCGCTTTGCTACATAGACAAGAAGACCCTGTAAACTATAAAAACCCCAAGAATCCTTTGTTCGGGGCTCAGAATTTGGACACTGACTCCTCTGGGCCCATGCACGTTAAAATAAACCTCGTACTCCAGAAACCCTCGGCGTCTGGTTGCTTCATTTTCCTGCAACAATACCCACCATGGCAGGAAGGAGGAGCCTTGGAAGAAAGAAGAAACCAGAAAAGGCCCCACAAAGGAGGTGGCACTTAAGTTGGGTTTTGAAGAATGGCTCAGAGTCAGACAAGAAGAGACCCGCAGCCCAGAGAACGGAGGCAGCTGAGCGAGGAATTGACGGCAGCTGTTCACTTTGAGAAAGATTATTTTACATCCCTAAGGCTGTCAACCTGCATATTCATGAGACAGTGAAGCCCGTCATCTGTAGGCGACTTTTTCCTCGGGGATGAGAGCCTGGCTCGGTGGTGCAGCCCCCACACCAAGTGACCCCTGGTGCCTGCACATGGACGCTGTGTGAGGGAGCCCGAGAAGCCCAAGATCAGGACCAGGGTACGAGGCAGCTGTTCTTGGTCAGACCTTGGGCATCAGGTCGGCACTGCGTCTGCTCTAGTGCGATCCTGGCAAGTCTCTCCACCTCTCCTGTGTCTCCCTCTGTAAAATGGGGGTAATCAAATGGGAACGTGTGTCAGGGACCCACAGAGAGACACGTGAGGAGCCAAATAGCACTCTGCGGCCTGAGCCAAACTTCCTGAGGGCAGCTGGCCAGAGGCGGATTGAAATAAAGGCAGATTCGGGGGTCCTTGAAGACAGGAGCCCCCAAAGTACTTTTTAAAACAAAGGATCTCTATTTATAGAGTTTACTGAAAACAAACTTATGTATTTGCTTTAAATAAGTTCACGTGTAAAGTAATATGCGCTGTTCCTGTAAATCAGTCCATGCCCACGTAAGCTTCACGTTTAAAGCAATTACAATTAGAAACCCTCACAAGATTTTTGGTTTTGGTTTTGGATTTTTTCGAATGAGTTTATTTGAGTTGACTGATGGCAAATGCTTGGAAACAAGATGTCACACACTCCCTGTTTTGTTTCTAGAACGAGGTAAAAATGACCTTGAAATGAATATTAGAGGGGAGAATCAAATTAGTACGGAAGGATAAATGTACAATAATTGCTACCAGTTCATGAAATAGAAAAAAATTGCCCTGGCTGGTGTAGCTCAGTGGATTGAGCATGGGCCTGCAACCCACACGATCGCGGTTCGATTCCCAGCCAGGGCACATGCCTGGGTTGCAGGCCGGTTCCCTGTAGGCCAGTTCCCAGCAGGGGATGTACGAAAGGCAACCATACATTGACGTTTCTCTCCTTCTGTCCTTCCCTTCCTCTCTAAAAATAAATAAATAAAATCTTTAAAAAAAAAAAAAAGAAATAGAAAAAAATTGCCGCGCGCTCCTCCTGCCCAAGCAGATAGTAGAACTTATAATAAAATTCAAAATGTCTAGCATTGTCATGGTCAGGTATCGATGGCACAACATACAGGGCCTGGAAACAAATAACAAATGTATATGAATCCTTAATATATAATTAAGATTGCATTTAAAGCCAAAAGGGAAATGGCTGAATCAATCAGAATATGATTAAGTTAAGGATCTCGAGATGAAGAGATTGCCTGAGATTATCCAGGTGACCCTAACTGCAATCCCAAGTGTCCTTATAAGAAAGGCAGAGGCCCTGGCTGTTATGGCACAGTGGACTGAGCACTGGCCTGTGAACCAAATGGTCACTGGTTCAATGCCCAGTGAGGACACATGCCTGGATTGCAGGCCAGCTCCCCAGTTGGAGGTGTACGAGAGACAGCCAAATGATGTTTCTCTTTCACACATGGACATTTCTCTCCCTCTCTTTCTCCCTCCTTTTCCCTTCTCTAAAAACAAATAAAATCTTCTTCTAAAAAGAGAAACAGAAGGAGGGAAGTGGAGGGAACTTGGACACAGCAGAGGAGTCAGCGTGACCTGGGAGGAAGAGATGAGAGTCCTATGGCCACAAGCCAAGGGTTGCCTCACCTGAGAGAGAGAAGGAACAATTCTGCCTTAGAGCCTCTAAAAGGAAACAGCCCTGACAATAGTTGGAGCTTAGTCCCATAAGACTCAGTTCTTCTAATCTATCTCTAGAACTGTAAGCTGCTAAACTTTTGCTGCTTAAGCCACTGAATTCGTGTAATTTATTCCAGCAATAATAGGAAACGAACACACTACTCTTTTCTCTGGGCTGGGAGAACTTCTGCAACATGCCTAGGGTAGGTGCCTGTCCCCTGTGTCCCCTCTCCTGCAGCACTGGTCACACTGCCTGCCACCGTCAGTCTCAGGGTTGGTGTCCTCTCCTAAACAGCAAGCTCCCTGAGGACAGATGTCCTGTCTCATTCACGTCTCCAGACTAAGCACCCAGCATTGTGTCTGGTATTAAGTCAGCAATCAATGAATGTCTTAAACCATGAGTGAGGAAGGGAAGATAAATAAGATTCGTTCTGATTTATCAAGCCACTGGGTCTTTATCCACGACTTTCCAGTTAACCTTAGCTCTCATCTTCGACTCAAGTTAAAAACGAAATCATCCAAAGAAAGACTTTTGTCCCATATTCTTTCCGAAAGCGAGGCTTTCACAACTTCTGGCAGCTGCTGGGATGGTAGCCTGTTTCGTTTTCTGGTGTGAGGCTGTTGGCAGGAAAGGGCTGCTTGCTTAAGGTCACATCTGCCTGTGTCTGCCGCCGGTTATTACTTGTGATCAAAATAATTTCACTCTGCACAGCAGTTCAGAACACATTCCTTATTTCCACTTTCCATCTGAAAGTCAGAAACATTCGTTTTTAGAATGATTTTTATTAGTCTTTTTTTAATTTTTGTTTTGGCTACCGTTTGGGTTTCTTTTGGC